AGTGAAGAAATTTGTGACAGTTGAGAATCGATTTAATTGGAGCAAGCAAGACGAAATATTTTACAATTCCGGTCAATAACCTCGAAATGATACAAGATGCTTTATACATTTGCAGAGCTAAAGGAGGGGAGGGGAAATATATTATTAATGAATTTTTAATTGTGATGACATTAATTGCCAGCCTTTCCTGAGAATTCGGATAACTGTTCCACATTCACAACAGCTTCTTGTCTCCGGGTTGTTTCATGTGATATTGCGGAAAACAATAATATTTTCAAACCTCCGGGAATCCCCGGGATTATCAAATGTCTCGTATAAATTTGCGGCATCACTGAAGCATACTAATCATTGATGTCCTTATCAAACATGTAGACTTGCTCAATGGTCGTCGGCAGAATTAACCACGTTTGTAGATACGAGTTGCGCCCCTTTGTATCTATACAAACGTTCGTTTTCTCTTTCACATAAAACACTTAAAAAGTCTAGCTAACTGGTTGCCAGCTGAATTTGCCACGTTCGTAAGCATGAGGCGATCGAGAATTGTACTGTTAAGCCCCTTCACAGGATCGTTGTTTTCGGGCGATGGTTTATCCTTTCCTTGTATATTGAGTTAAAAGAATGAGAATTCCTGAACGGTGTACGAAGTTTATCATAAATAGAAAGTCTAGCTCACTGATTGCCACAAGCTGAACTGAGTCTTGTAGGCACGAGTTGTACCCCTTATTTAATTTTCATAAGTTCATAAGTCGGATAACACCATCCTGTATATTTGTATCAAAGTAACGGTGATCGACGGTGACGAATCAAAACTTTAAGTGCTGGACTTTGCACAAAAATGCTGTTGTGTTGTATATCATGAACTGACATTGATAGAATTGTATTTTTGATACTCAGCACGATTCCAATATACTCACATAGTAGCCTACTGGTCTTAAAATAGTACAGCCTCTCACAATAAAGGCGATTATCATTTCTGATAGACCAATGGTCAGGTAGGTCTATTTACATGACCAGGTGTATTGTATACCAAATCTTGGAATCTGTTGCATTTTCTATAATGTAAGATTGCCGGAACAAATATAGTTTGGGGGAGGTAAAGAAAATCGTTAGGCTTTTAGATTTAGGGGTTTAAAAGACGTTGGTATATTGTATTAATTTAACTATTTTAATACAGCTACTTATTTTATCGCAGTGTTTTGTGTTTTATTTTAAAATCGAGACAGAGGATAGTTTATATCAGAGGATAGTTCATAACAAAATAACGTTACACTGCGAAATGGACGTATCTCTTAAATTAAATATGCATCATGTTGAAACAATTATTGATAAGAGGCATGGTCAAACGACGATGCTTCTGTATAGAACCATAATTTAAGAAATCCAAAAAAAAAAAATTTATTTAGTACTTTATTAGTACAAAATAACACAAACTGATAATATAATAACATATTTTCTAATCAACTCACAACATTTTTCAATAATAATTTGATGTTATCAATAAGGACATAATATCTGAAATGATATAAATGTATTGAGCTTAATTTTTGTTCCTGCTATCTTGATGGTGTTAATGCAAAATAACCATTAAAAAACATATTAAAGCTTCTGTTGCATCATAAAATCTATACCAAATTCTATACAAAGGCACATCGTGAATTTTAAACTGTTTTATCAATGAGGTTGAAAAGTCATTTATTCGTCATATGTTTATCCTTTTCAAGACAAGCGGTCATTCACATCCAGTTCTGAAAATGTTGATTACACATATAATCAAGAATCTTTTTCCCTGCTGTCATTAAATCTTTCTTCCGTGTCAATTAAATATATCTTTTACAATGTTATTAAATATATCTTTCTATTTTGTTATTAAATATATCCTTCTAAAATGTAACTTAAATATATCCTTCTATTTTGTCATTTAAATATATCTTTCTATCTTGTTATTAAACATATCTTTCTATCTTGTTATTAAATATATCTTTCTATCTTGTCATTAAATATATCATCCTATCCGTGTCATATAAAAATATCTTTCTATCTTGTTATTAAATATATCTCTTTAACTTGTTGTCATGCCATTCAATTATATCTTTCTACCATGTCATTTAAATATATCTTTCTACCATTTCATTTAAATATATCTTTCTGTCTTGTCATTTAAATATATCTTGTTATTAAATATATCTTTCTATCTTGTTGTTAAATATACCCTTCTACCATGTAACTTAAATATATCCTTCTATTTTGTCATTTAAATATATCTTTCTATCTTGTTATTAAATATATCTTTCTATCTTGTTATTAAATATATCTTTCTATCATGTCATTAAATATATCCTTCTATTTTTTTTATTAAATATATCTTTCTATCGTGTTATTAAATATATCTTTCTATCATGTCATTAAATATATCCTTCTATTTTGTTATTAAATATATCCTTCTATTTTGTAATTTAAATATATCTTTCTATCTTGTTATTAAACATATCTTTCTATCTTGTTATTAAATATATCCTTCTACCATGTCACTTTAATATATCCTTCTATTTTGTCATTTAAATATATCTTTCTATCTTGTTATTAAACATATCTTTCTATCTTGTTATTAAACATATCTTTCTATCTTGTCATTTAAATGTATCTTTCTATCTTTTTATTAAATATATCTTTCTATCTTGTCATTAGATATATCTTTCTATCTTGTAATTAAATATATCCTTCTATTTTGTTATTAAACATATCTTTCTATCTTGTCATTTAAATGTATCTTTCTATCTTATTATTAAATGTATCCTTCTATTTTGTCATTCAAATGTATCTTTCTATTTTGTCATTTAAATGTATCTTTCTATCTTGTTATCAAACATATCTTTCTATCTTGTTATTAAACATATCTTTCTATCCTGTTACTTAAATATACATTTGTATCTATCTTGTCATATCTTTCATTAAACATGACCTTCTACCATTTCATTTAAATATATCTTTCTATCTTGTTATTAAACATATCTTCCTATCTTGTCATTAAATATATCCTTCTATTTTGTTATTAAATATATCTTTCTATCTTGTTATTAAATATATCCTTCTACCATGTAACTTAAATATAACCTTCTATTTTGTCATTTAAATATATCTTTCTATCTTGTTATTAAACATATCTTTCTATCTTGTTATTAAACATATCTTTCTATTTTGTCATTTAAATATATCTTTCTATCTTGTTATTAAACATATCTTTCTATCTTATTAAATATATCCTTCTACCATGTAACTTAAATATAACCTTCTATTTTTTCATTTAAACATATCTTTCTATCTTGTCATTAAATATATCTTTCTATCTTGTTATTAAACATATCTTTCTATCTTGTTATTAAATATATCCTTCTACCATGTAACTTAAATATAACCTTCTATCTTATCATTTAAATATATCTTTCTATCTTGTTATTAAACATATCTTCCTATCTTGTTATTAAACATCTCTTTCTATCTTGTTATTAAATATATCCTTCTACCATGTCACTTTAATATATCCTTCTATTTTGTCATTTAAATATATCTTTCTATCTTGTTATTAAACATATCTTTCTATCTTGTTATTAAATATATCCTTCTACCATGTCACTTAAATATAACCTTCTATTTTTTCATTTAAACATATCTTTCTATCTTGTCATTAAATATATCCTTCTACCATGTAACTTAAATATATCCTTCTATTTTGTCATTTAAATATATCCTTCTATCTTGTCATTAAATATATCTTTCTATATTGTTATTAAATATATCCTTCTACCATGTCATTTAAATATATCTTCCTATCTTTGGATTAATGTAATTAAATATATCTTTCTATCTTGTCATTTAAATATCTTCATTTAAGTATATCTTTCTACCATGTCATTTTAATACGGCTTCCCACCAATTCTAGCTAATTCTAGTCAATTTCTAGCTCTTACTTAATTTTAACTGGTTGAATTACAGTGAACAGCGTAAACTGTTACACATTTAATGATATCTATAGTTTACATCTCACTGGCAATTATAGCTTCGGATGACCCGTATACTCTAGTGTAAAGCTTCAGATGATATACTAACGTTACATTCATAAGTGAGGCTTCTTTCGGAACATAAAACGTCCGAATGTTTCAACAATTCCTTGACATGATGGAAATATTTCTCCGAGTATTCGAGTAGGCTGGGCATGACTTTTCTGGGTCGCAAAAAACAACAATTTACTCCATATTTAAGTTTAATCTTTATATGATCTATAGTATGTGAACAAAACATATCCTGAACAACTATGAAAGATCATGAAAGTACCATCCCAATATTTTATGTTACAATCACATGAGGATGAACCTACCTCAGTAACTTATTGCTTTTCCCCACGTATAAATAAAGGCCTAGGAAGTTTTGGTTCGTAATGTTTCAATAAATTTAACATGACTGCCATGACCGACCACTTTCTATTTTCTGCTTCTTGCCATACAAGCGAATTTTTAGAGTAAAAGACGTCGTCTGTGACTTCTTCTGGTTTTCTTGGAAGACAGTGCATGAAAACCCAATTGCCATTGGCTTCTCTGAGCATTTTACGATCTATTTGGAAAGCAGAGAAATCGTTTAATCTCTTTATTTTTTCTTCCTCTTGACCCATCGATATCCATGTATCAGTCACAATAACATCAGCTCTATACACAGCATCAAAGGGATTTTGGGTCAAATTGAAATTAGTTTTATTACGGGAAGCTAAACTTATTGCATACTGGGTCACTTCCTTATCAGGCTCATAGCCTAGAGGTGTAGCAACACTTAGTTCTATGCCTAATTTAGCGCAGCCATACATAAGAGAATGTAAAATATTGTTGCCATCTCCAACCCACGCTATCTTCAAACCTTGCAGAAATCCAAAATGCTCCTGAAAAATATTAGTATAATAAACAATATTTCTTACAAATCCAAAGATTAAAGTTGGACTTCCAAGGAATTTTATAACAATTTATAAATAGATGGGATTCCATGGTACCATGCCGATTTAACGTCTATGGTCACAGTACTGTAACTTTAAAAAAAAAATTAAATGCAATAGTGGAGTCTGCATACTTCTGGCTTCAAATCTTAATGGTGAAAATACAAACAAATATGTTTTCGATGCACTTACAACGGGGAACCTTTTTGGATTCCTTTTAACCTATAACTGTAACATCATCTTCAACGAAAATATTTCTATGGCCTAGACCTTTCAATTTATGGTGAATATTTCATTATTTTAACCCCAATAGTTAAAACAAAATAATAAAACAACTCTGTTGTCAAATCTTGCGCAGATTACTAATATAGTTTAAAAATACAAAAATAGTTGGCAATGCCACACATCAGTGTCTACGACAAATTGTTTCTAATTGTGCGAATACTTCTCTCTCATCATTCATACTACCATGTGATCAAATTCATTTTTTGTGAAGTAAATCGATCAAATATTTGCCAATATTTCTAGGGAACCAAACATACGCGAAATTATGCGAAATATCACACAAGGACATGAATATTCTTCTTGGCTTCATTTATATACTCAAATAGAGGTTAGGGCCAGGGCAGGGCCAGTAGAGACCAGCTCAGTTCATTTGTATGCCTTAACTATATGTTTCTGTATTGACAAACATTCAATATTTTCACAAATCGATATTTTGAGATTGTTGTAAAATAAAGACTATATAGGTCATGAAGCCAAAACATCCAAGATATCCACATTAGTGCTAAACTACGTTTGAAATTTCCTTGCAATTGCAAACCCTCACCTGTAAAGTGACAAAGTCGGCTAATATCTGTAATGGGTGGTATAAATCAGATAACCCATTAATAACTGGAACACTAGCTTCATCCGCCAAATCTGTTATATCCTGGTGATCATACACTCTTCCTAGAATCAAATCAACCATTCCGGACAATACTCTGGCGCTGTCTTTTATAGTTTCATTAACTCCAAGATGAACATCAGATGGTCCCAGGAAAGCGGCATGACCACCGAGAAGTGTCATTCCTGTCTCAGTTGACAATCTAGTCCTTGTACTTCTCTTCTGGAAAATCATTCCAATCGACTTTCCTAATAGCGGCCGATAATCCTCACCATTTTCTTTTATTCGAGATTTCAAACACAGTGAAGACCACAATAAATGCTCTATTTCTGATCTGTTAAAATCTCGAAGGGTAAGGAAATCGCGACCAGCAAAGCGAACTGGCTCTTTATCCAGTGTTAAAGTTTTGGGTGTGGATGAAAAGAACCTCGCCCATGCCAATTTCCCTGCAGTCTTCAAGACGTCTTGCTCTATAAATTTACTCAAGAGCCTCATGGCAATGAACACTTTTGCAAACAAGATAATATGTACTCAATATCCAATGAAAGTGATAGAAATTTACCCTGTTGTTGTGCAATATATGCGTGCATTGGTTACGCTGGATGTTTCAGTCTACGCACCTGCTTCAAGGGAGGCTACTCCAACATTAGCATTATCGGGATTTTCCGTCATTTTCCGGATATTTCCGTCAAAGAGAAACAAAATGGCGGATAAAATGCCATGGGGACTGGCTTCAAGTGGTGTATTGCCCGGTTCCACAACGGTAAAGCATTCTTTTATCTTATTATCCATTTAACATTGCATTATAGATTTTAGTGCATATTTCTAAATAGTTTGTTAGCTGATTTGTTTGTTGAACATCGCATATTAAGCGTGGGAAAGAGTACGAAGTATAGTTGGACTATTCGGACTACGTTCACTCTGCATCAATTTTATGTTACATTTTGTAATTTGTAACGTATTTCATTTTGGAATGTCTGTGGCGTCCGATAGGTATAAATATTGTTACATTCAAATTAAAATCCCTTTTAAACAGGACCTAGTTTTCTGTTTCTACACCATTCGACATCTGTCAAAATATCAGAGACTGCCAATTTGGCACCTGACCTGGAATTGGGATACATTACAAATATACAAGACTACAAGAATAGGGTTAAGGATACACAATATGTGGTGATGGGATAAAAATTTAACATTTTATCTTCATAGTTTCATTATATTTGGTAATGTAGATGATAATAGAGGTTAACATCTACTGTCCATCAAATAGTTCCCACCAACTTCAATCACAGTGAATAAAATTTGTGAGTCCATTTGCGAATTTGTAAAAAGATCATAAATTTTTTATGGAATGAAAGGTAATGTCAGGTAGCAATAATCGACCTTGCGATACAATACAAAACACTCTTGCACTGCGCAAACATACTCATTACAACCAAGTCTAACTTTTAAGGTGGTCTAGAAGCTTGCAGGCTTAAAACAAACTGAAGAAAACAAAATCAGTCATAGACAATAGCCTGCACAACAATGCATTTCTTTAATGTGAAAATAAATTATTTTGTAGACTATTTCTGAAAATAAATTGAAGGCCTTTGAAATAGGCAGCATGAATATTGGTAAAAAGAAGACATTATCAAAGAAGGAATTAGAAGACTTAAAGAAAAAGGTAAATGTAATATGGATATAATTTTGGGGTTGTAAAATGAACCTTTTTTTCGACTTTTGATCAGAATATCTTGTAAGAAAAATATTTGCATGTTACATAGTTAAAAATGTAGCTGTTGTTGCTATGCTGAACATTTTAGTTCTCAGAGTGCCATTTTATATAAGCTAATAGCATTATTGATTATACATGCATCAGATTTTATGATTAATAATGTTTATAAGGCGTAATTTACTTTGCTTATAATTAATTGAACTTTGAAATGGTCATTTCATTTGTTTAGATCCATAAGTTGAACTACTGTGCTATCAGCAGGTTGAAAAATCCTTCTAAATCCTTTAAAAGTTAGTGTAGCTGCTACTCTAACTGTAGAAGGATTTAGTTAAATGTATAAACACTGTAGCCAGAATGATATTTTGCAGGAGGATGAAGCTGCAGCAGCTCAAGTATATGAAGAATTTGTGGAATCATTTGAAGATAATACTAAAGGAAAATTGCAAAGAACATGGGTGAAAGGAGAAGTTGTAAATCCAGGAAAAAAAGGTTTGTTTTGTTTTTACATTGATCAGTCATTGTAGTATATACAAATTGGACTGTGTACTAAGCCAGGATATAATAGATTTTCACAATGATTGTTTGTCTAGACTACTTTCGTTACTATATTAACCCCTGATCTGTTACTTACTTTAAGTTTGTATCTTGTTAATCTTTTTTATTAATTGTTTTGTTCTCTAAATAATTTGTAGCTACAGTGACTAAACCAGATGAAAAGAGTAGATTATATAAACCATCTTCTAAACTATCTCAAGCTATATTAAACAGTACTAGTAGCACTAAGAAAGATCCGAAACTTACAGATGATAATTATAAGGTGAGATATTAACAATTAGTTTTGATTTTTCTATTAGGATTTTAGCTTTGAATATGGCCTCCTTATTGTCATAGTTGACTTTAAAACTAGTTGTCTAAAATAGAATATTGGGATGTGGCAGTTTGCCAATTGGCAGTTTTAGAATGACAGCTAAGTTTTTGACCAAATTTCTGTTTTCAAACAATCCTTCACGGAAATAAAACATCCAAATCATTTTACAAATATGTTCAAAATACCTCTCTGAAATGAATTTTTGAATTTTGATTATTATTACTTGTAGCAATCGTCATTTAAAAAGAAGAAAACTGAAGAAAAAAAGAAGAGTAATTTAGAATTATTTAAAGAAGAGCTGAAACAGTTAGTAGCACTGAACTATATTTTTTGTGAATGATTGACTATACCTGATATAAATCACTGTTTATTTGACTATCCATGAAAATTTGACTGTTATGGTGAATTGAAAAATGTTTTTTTTTGGCTTTCAGAATCCAAATCCAAAGGCAGGAAAGACACAAGATAAAGAAAGGTTTAAAGAATGAAGAAGATATTTTTGCTGAGGAAATTGATACTCCTCCTAGTAAGGTTTCTAGATTTGAACCTGAAGAAACAGCAAGATTGTTAGGATGTAGGTTTTTCTTTATTTGTATTTTATATATGTCATTAGAAAAGTATGTGATGAGCGAACATGGTATATTATAGCTGTGTTTAATTCAGCAATTACGATTCCTAAAATTTATAGATTACTGATGTGTCTTTTCTGAAAACAAAAATTTTCTTCCTGAAATTATCATTATGTCAATTCACCTTGTTCACTAATCATCCATGTCAATCAATTGCACTGACTCAGACCAAGGTAACATACACCTTAGATTTGAAAGGATATGTTATGATTTGTATCACTGTTATTAGGGTTGTTATTATATTAATCCTGGTATTTATCATTAATTCTGATGTAAAATGTAAACATTCAATTTTAAAGCAACAAAAAATATCACTTTATGATAATTAACTTAGTCTTATTTATATTACAGTTGACAGTGATATGTTAGATGCTCTTGGTCCATTAGAAACTGCTGATGAAACCACCACAAATTTATATGTTGGTAATATCAATCCTAAAGTAAGTTGTTTCTCTATTAATTGGTTTTCCAAAATAGTGTATATGGTGTGCAAAAACTGTGTGTATATATATATAAATCAAGTAATCAGATTGAATTACAGATCTATGTGTTTTGTTTGTGGTTTTCTGTTTGTAAATATGCGCAGATAATGATGTACTTAATTCTTCTTTAATTGATGATGAAGAACTCAATAGCAGATTTTCCATCTGTTTTGATCTTTTCTATTGAGTTCTGTAATATTTTCTAACATTTAGATGTCAGAACCTCAACTATGTGAAATATTTGGAAGATATGGACCTCTAGCTAGTGTTAAAATAATGTGGCCCCGTACTGATGAAGAGAGATCTAGAGGGAGAAATTGTGGTTTTGTTGCTTACATGAATAGAAAAGATGGTGAAAGGGCTTTAAATGAATTATCAGGTATGTATATCAGGAAGCTTAGTTTACTTTTTTAATTATTTTCAAAAGAAACACTTTACAGAATCAGAATCTGAATAAGGTATTGGTTTCAAATGCTTAGCTTTGACTATTATTGGATCAGTCTTGAAAATTTCATATTTTTTAATTGGGACCAGTATTTTAAAGCAGTTGCTAGCTTTGTTGATCAGCCTTGATAACCCAACATTCCAAAATCTATTCATCAGTCAATCAATGAAAAATTCAAAAACCTAAAAAATAGAGAGAATATTCTGATATGAATAAATTTAAAGTCAGGAAACTCAATGTTTTGAGACATTGCAAGAACATGTTACATGTTTGTTGAAAGAAAAAACAGTTTCTGTCACTATAGCACAGAGTATATTATTTGACTAAAAACCTTCTTAGGGTAGACTAAATCATTCTATGTTAAAGAATATTATACAAGGTATAATTGTTACAGGTCAAGATTTCAGTGGATTTGAAATGAAGTTAGGGTGGGGAAAAGCAGTATTAATACCACCACACCCTGTGTACATTCCACCTAGATTAGCAGAACTGACCCAGCCACCACCAGCCTCAGGCTTACCATTCAATGCTCAACCATTTAAAAGCCAAAAGTCCAAATTTGCACCTCCAGATTTTGAAGGCAACCAAATTACTGATGATATGCAGAAGGTAATTTTCGAGAAGTATTCTTTCTACATTTATAACATTTTCGAATTATAAATAAATTTTTAGTCCTTATGTCCCTTGCAATAACTGTCCGTTGTAAATGGTTTTAATTCTATGCGCCTTTCCTAGACTTTCCTAACGAGAAAGTTTCCATTGTTAATGTAAAAGAATTATTCTTATTTGAAAATGTTTTGGAATGTGTTTATACATGTTTTGATCAAAAATTGAGCTGACAATATTTTTAACTGCCATTTCTACAGACCTTAGCCAATGCTGTAGTGAAAGTTGTTATTCCGGCAGACAGGTATATTTTTTTCTTTTTCTCTATTTTGAATTAAACCTTTTTGATTATCAGACAATGTGGAACAAATAATTAAACTTTCAAAACATGCAGGGATACAAAGAGGCATATTATAAAATAACTAAGAATTAGAAATAAAAATCTTGTAAGAAAAAAACATTGTTTATATGATGAATTATTAAAGAAAATAAACATTTAGATTACAAATTTTAGTAAATAAAATAGAATTTATATGAAATAAGATAGAAAATAAACTTTATTACATATACATGTAATTGAAAAGAAGAAGATATTGAAAATAGAACATCAAAATATAGCATAATTCGCATGAACATGGAAATACAAATTTTGAATAACATGATGAGAAAATAAAATATAATTTATTTGTTAAATATTTTACATGATTTTAAAAAAGGACCGGTTTCAGATTAGAAAACTATAAAAAATAATTGTTTATTAATTTAATAATTATTTTTTTTAACTTAACATAGAAGAATAAAAACATAATTGAAAGTAAAAATTTTAATATGTAAATGATGAAATGATTAACTTGACACTATAGAACATGGAACATTCAGCAGGTGAATATAAACAATGATATAATATTAGATGTATTGAACATTATAAAAAGTAGGACAAAAGTATTTGATGAACATGATATGTAATATAGAACATGATGATTACTATTTATATAAGTAAAACATGAATTAGATGAACACAGTATTAAAATTATAACATAATGTTGATAATAATGAAATTTAAAAATTTAAATATAATCTGAAATTATAAAACATACAACAAGAATATAGCTGTTGATTGATAAAGATATGTTCTGATTATCAGGTTAAGGCAAAAATATTTTTAGCAAATTGTCAAATTATAGGTGTATTCCTAATTGTCTGATAATCATATAAAGAGTGTTTTAAATCTTGAAGAGTTCTGTCTTCAATGAAACAAATTCAATCAAAATATACCTAAGAAAGAAATGTGAAGATTGATGCTGATGGATGATGAATTAAAAACAGATGGATATGGTTTGAAGATAATGGAAGACTACAACCAAGGCTTTAAACTCATTTTTATTATTTCTAAACTATAAACTATTTAAAACATTTGGAATATCTTTTCTGCCAACTTCAGCAAAACTTTGACCTGCATGAAATAGTATTTTATTTAGAATGAGAGGTGATGGAAACTCTTGGGAAATTGTCATTAGACTTAAAAAAAAACCCTTTTATTTTCAATCCAATTTATAGATTAATTAACACAATTCTGATTACTTGCATGATGTTAGTATTTTTAATTAATTCCTAACACAATGTTCAGTAAATATTGGGGGGTCCCATTTAAGATCTTGCCATGCTTTTCTCTCTTGTTCCAGAACCTTACTTGGCGTTATACATCGAATGGTAGAATTTGTGGTGCGTGAAGGACCAATGTTTGAAGCTATGATAATGAATAGAGAAATTAGTAATCCAGTCTACAGGTGAGTCATATAGAATTTGATATGTTAATTAGAAGTAAGTGTCTCTCTTCCATTATGATGATCAATGTTAATGATAAATGTTCCTTATTCAAAACTAATGTTTGATCGTTTTCTTTTTTCAGATTTTTGTTTGATAATCAAACACCGGCACATATATATTATAGATGGAAAATGTTCTCCATATTACAGGTAAAGTTTATAGCGATATTCTGAAATCCTTACAATAGAGATTATTTGATAATCAATGAAAAATAGACCTACAGATTAGATTATAATTTTATGTTGGGTTTCTATATAAGAATCTTGACTGAGGAACCATCACAATTTTTTGTCACTTTCATAATATGCACCCCCAGTTTAGTAACACAGTTTGATATGTGCACTGTACACATAATTATTCAGTAGGTAAATATCTTGGACTGACCTTTTCTTAAGTTTGATAGATATAACCTTTTATATATTAAAGGGAGATACACCTTATCGATGGTCGACTAAAGAATTCCGTATGTTTGATGGTGGTTCAGTATGGAGACCTCCACCATTAAATCCTTACACTCAGGGAATGCCTGATAATCTTGTAGAAGATAAGAAACCTGAAGTTAAAGCTGAACCTGAACCCCAGGAACAGAAAGGATTATTAACAGATGGGTGAGAATTTCATTATTGCAATTATTCAGATTATGTTTACAGACAGACAGAATTTCATTCAATTTAGTACTGTTACTGTTGTATAGATATTAGGTTACGTTGCCATTCTGGTATCGTAACAGCATTCATAATTCAAAAGAGCTTGACCACAAAAGAGCATGACCAAAGAATAATGTTTAGAATTGCTAGCACCCTCACTTTCAAATATGTGTTTCCAGACAAAGGGACAGATTAGAAGATATGTTACGTGAATTAACACCAGAGAAAAATAAAGTAGGAGAAGCTATGGTATGGTGTTTAGATCATGCTGACTCAGCTGAAGAAATAGTGGAATGTATAGCAGAATCATTATCTATACTTCAAACACCAATACCTAAAAAAGTATGTATACTGTTTTCTTAAACTGTCTTTTACACAGTATTCAGAGCTGTTTCTTGAATCATTTCATATGATATGGTAGATTTGAATTGAAGAAATTGTATATATTTATTAATGTATATACATGTATTCTAAATTTCAGATAGCCCGTATTTTCCTCATGTCAGATATATTATTTAACAGTAGTGCTAAAGTACCAAATGCCTCATTCTTCCGTAAATTGTAAGTTTTCTTATTATTTTCATGGGTGTTAAATGTGAAGTCATTGATATTTGTTGGCCAATCAATTAGTTCATATCAATATCTGTAGGATCATAGTGATGTTAATTTATTTAATAGGGATTACCAAAAATGGGGGTTTTGAAAATGATAGAGAATAAAATAACAGACTTTCTTTATATTTGTAGTAGAAGTAAAATGTTTTAACTTTTCTTCTAGCTTTCAAGGGAGATTACCTGCTATATTTAAAGATATAAGAGAAACATATGAAAATATTGAAGGTCGTTTAAAGGCTGAACAATTTAAGGTATGTGTAATAATTATCTTATTTACAATAAGTACAGGTATGTGTAATAATTATCTTATTTACAACAAGTACAGGTATGTGTAATAATTATCTTATTTACAACAAGTACAGGTATGTGTAATAATTATCTTATTTACAATAAGTACAGGTATGTGTAATAATTATCTTATTTACAACAAGTACAGGTATGTCTAATAATTATCTTATTTACAATAAGTACAGGTATGTGTAATAATTATCTTATTTACAACAAGTACAGGTATGTCTAATAATTATCTTATTTACAATAAGTACAGGTATGTGTAATAATTATCTTATTTACAACAAGTACAGGTATGTCTAATAATTATCTTATTTACAATAAGTACAGGTATGTGTAATAATTATCTTATTTACAACAAGTACAGGTATGTCTAATAATTATCTTATTTACAATAAGTACAGGTATGTGTAATAATTATCTTATTTACAACAAGTACAGGTATGTCTAATAATTATCTTATTTACAATAAGTACAGGTATGTGTAATAATTATCTTATTTACAACAAGTACAGGTATGTCTAATAATTATCTTATTTACAATAAGTACAGGTATGTGTAATAATCATCTTATTTACAACAAGTACAAGTATGTCTAATAATTATCTTATTTACAATAAGTACTAATAATTGCATGAATATATAATTATTTTGAGGATATATCACAACAATATACTTTACACTAAAACAATAATGTATCATGATGGTTGTTGGTTCTAATCTCAATTGGCCTTGAATAAGTTATCTTACTCATAATTCCAGTCAACCCTGCTAAAATTGGGTACAGATAATCCGTAAAAGATCAATGCCAAAAAGGTTGGTCAAGGACCAGCTGTTAGACAGAATCCTTCAGAAACTAAATTGTTATCCTTATAAAATATAGCTTTCTGTTTTTTTTCTTGGTTACCTGTATTTTATATTTAACATATAAATTTTACTTCAGTAAAAAATTAGTTTTTTTGTTTTTCCTATTTTCCAGCAAAAAATGATGTTATGTTTCCGAGCATGGGAAGATTGGGCAGTGTATCCCAATGACTTCTTAATAAAATTACAAAATATCTTCCTTGGACTAGTGCACAAGGTATGTTAATGTTTATTAGTTTTCTTCTCTGAATAAGCTTTTGCTTCCATCTGTTTTCCAATTGATTTATTTATAATGTCAAATTTCATAAAAATTCATAATGTCATTTCTTCTATTTAATGTCAAGTGTCATAACCCATTTTTTTTGTTGTAATGTCAATTTTTGTATCTACTGTAAAGTGTAATAATTTATTTTTTAATATCAATTATTATATCTGATGTCAAGTGTTATAAAACATATTTTAATGTCAAAATTATTGCAGTTACATGATTTTATATTATTTTATATTCTTTTGACAAATGTATGATATTAGGAAGAGAAAGAAGATTTAGATGGTGCTCCAATACAACAAGAAGAAGTAGTAGTATCAGAAATCGATGGTAAACCATTAGTTGATGATTATGATGGTGAACCATTAAAGGAAGATATAGATGGTGAACCATGTAAGTATTATGGTGCAGCTGCTAACAGTCTTGGTTGTAAAGTTTTGTCACTGACTCGAATCTTAAGTAAAATATCACATGTGTCCATGCTTCCAAAACAGCATTAATGAAATTTACTTTAAGATATTTATTTGAAGAGTTCAGACACAGGGCTGTAAGATAACCATTTCTTCAAGTTCAAGATAAGATATTGTTGTGCAAAAGATAATCGTTTTATTCTGTTATATTTTACAGTAGACAGCAAGACACCAAATAAACCAGTAGCAGCTTTTGTACCTTCTAAATGGGAGACTGTAGATGAAGCAGATTTAGAAGCACAAGGTAAAATTCAATTTAATTATTTATATGTAAATATGTGGAGTCAAGCACTTCTTTTATCATTTTTACCTTGTATGATCTAAGTTTAAAATTCCAAGAATTACTACATGAAGTTTAATTGAAATTAGACCAAACTTTCATTTATCATGTTTACTGAAAGTGTCATTATGCAGAACGTTATTCAAACAGGTTTATTATTGGTTGGTTTGAATTTTACCAGTTAACTTCAATTAGTTAAAGCAAAGGTCATCAGGTTTCATCAAAGATTATTCATACGAACAAACAAGAGGGGAGTAGTTGGACATTAGAGTGACTAAATAAAGATAAAAGAACAGAATGAAATTGATATTCCTCGTTGATAAAAATATTAAATATCTATATTATATTGTAGCTATGACAACATCTAAATGGGATCAATTAGAAGGTAGAAATGAAGAAATGGAAGAAGAACTAGATGGGCAGTAAGTAGATATAGTACATATATTTCATATATCACCACAATTTATGATATGGTTGAAAACATTTATTAAATTTAATTTATTGAGAATATCAGTGATTATAGAGAGTTAATTTGGTTGATACTGCTTGTTTGGATAAAGGATTTGTATATATGTGTGTTATTTTCTAGGCCTATAGATGATGATAATAGTCGATCTCAAGCTAGTGATATCAGTGATAGTGATGATGATGCTCCTACACCAACACATTCTAGTAATTACAATGCTAGACAAGAAATGACTGAAGAAAGAAGAGCTAGATTGAGAGAGATTGAGGTATGTAATCTAATGACTGATCAACTGATTTTTATATTGTTAACTCTAATTCTATATCATTAAACCAATAAATGAACAATTAACCCAAAGTAACAGTTAACAAATAAGTTGATTTTTGTGTAGGTAAGCCTATATATATGTAGCACAAAACCTTTGTTATTTTTGTACTTAAGGAAGACTGTACACCTGAGGTAATAATCTATTAATTGATAAACATGTACTTTGTGTATTCAAATATATCTAGTAAATATATCTAACTTGTATTTGTAGTTAAAGGTAATGAAATACCAAGATGAGTTAGAAGCTGGTAAAAGATCAAGAAAACCACATCTGTCAATGATTGAACAGATGCAAGCCTATCGTAAAAAATTATTAAGAAAGGTAGGTTTTAATTAATTGTTATTTTCAATGATCAATTGATGCTAATTTGCATTTTGAAACTAAAATCGATGATGACAAACATGTTTCCAAACTTTGCATTTGCAGTTTTCTTCTTCCAGGTGATGGCACAAGACAGTAATGATTCACCAAGCAGATCACCTCGTAGACGAAGGCGTTCTCGTTCTAGATCTATATCCCCTAAACGTATCAAACGCACAAAGATAAGGTAACGTGTTATATTTTATTGACCAATATTCAGAAATACTGACATAAGCTTACATTAGACCGGTATTAATTGAAACAAAACTTTGGTTTATTATAATTTGTAGTTATAGTTATACCTCCTGTTAAGTTGGAATTCCAAACAAGTTGTCCTAATGCTGGAATTTATTTGTCCATTACATGATGAGCTTTGTCAAATGTATATAAATTATAATTTTGTTTGATTTCAGCCCTAGAAGATCACGTCGGTCGCCATCTCGTTCACCTCCATTACGCAGAGTTTCAGGTAGTCCTACAAGACACAGACATAAACATAAGAAAAACAGAAGATGATATCTTATAGTTGTGATTTGTGTGTAAATGGATGAATGAATGAGTAAAAAAGTGAATGAATGTGATTAATGAAATTCGTTTAAAAGTGATGCATTTTTCATGTTTCCTGTTTGTTTATAATTTTCATATCAATTATTCAGTGATTTTGAGGGAAACAAAACAGTGTAAGTGAAATTGTGTTCTAAATGACAATGTTCAATTTATCTTTGAAGATAATCTATATCTTTTAGAGAATATCTTGAATTTATCAGTGGAATCTATTTGATCAAGAATGAATTACCCTAAAATGAGAAATAGAAATTGTCATTTATTTTTAAAGCTCTTTGTAAATCAAGGTGGTGTATTTATTCAGATCAAATTTGTTAATAAGTCATCTTCATTATTATAAACTGTTTCAATTAATTATGTGTTCACTTTATAATTAAGATTACATGTATTCATATCTGAGCATGTGAATATTCGAAACTATGGGCATACCAATGTTCAACATGAAAAGCATAGTAATGTTCAAAATAATTACATAACCTCGTTCAATATCTGCATTCCTATGTACAAATATATAGATATAACTTGAATATGATAGGCAAACCATTATGCAGTATTGAAACTAGTGTAGTTTGCTACTAAGGAAAATTGGCAGGACAGTGACATAATTCCACTCTTATTCAATTAACAACTGTTTTCCTTATGTCTTGGTGTCAGCATGTCTCACCTACATCACTGTGGGGGTCAAAGCGTATTTTAAGTACAAAGGAATTGTGAACAACCAACAAACAATCGAGGCACAACATACATGTTGTGTCGCTATCTCCGTCACAATGTGCAGAATTGAAATACCAATTTGAAATACAAATATGATACTTACCAGAAAAATTGAAATCATGACTAAAATATTATGGGACCTGTTGGACGAAATACACACTTGATCGGATTCTAATGTAAATGCCATTAGCAAGAGTCAATATGAAAAGAACTGTTATCATCCATGATAAATTATTCAAATTCATGCCATTGTAACGATACGCTTTCTATAATTTTACTTTTAATTTTTTTCAAATATTGATCAATTATTCAAACCTTATTGATCTCCAACATAAATAATTCGTTCTAGTGTGGTGATTTTTCCAAAAAAAAATTTTCATCAGATAGCTTGTGCTATATATTCTGCCCACTGCCTTTCTATCATCGAATTGTAGAAAGATAATACTATACCAAAAGGATGTTTAGAGGATATTTTATCACGATGTTGTAATGGGTACTTTAAAATCACAAGGCTGTATAAGGGTCACTATAATATCACTTGGTTGTATAAAGGATACTATTACTAGATTGTATAATGGGCAATGAATACTATCACTTGGTAGTATAAAGATTATATTCTTTTACTAGGACTACTATTCTACCAAACGGTTGTATAGAGGATATTTTATCACTAGGTAATATAAAGGGTACTATACACTATCACTAGGTTGTATAAAGGATACTATACTTATCAGTAAGCTGTACAAAGATACTATTCAAGTAACGAATTATATAAAGGATACCACTTCATCAAGTGATATTAGTCCATCTCAGTTCAGTTATACAAGTCCACAGGATAAATTCGATCACTAGGTTGTATAAAGGATATTCTATCACTAGGTAGTATAAAGGATGGTATTATATCACTAGGTTGTATAAAGGATGATATTCTATCACTGGATTGTGTAAAGGATGATATTCTATCACCAGCTTATATAAAGGATAATCTATCACCAGGTTGTATAAAGGATAATATTCTATCACTAGGTTGTATAAAGGATGATATTCTTTCTTTATGTTGTATAAAGAATGATACTATATCACTAGCTTGTACAAAGGATGATATTCTGTCACTAAGTTGTATAAAGGATGATATTCTATCATTAGGTTGTATAAAGAATGATGTTATATCACTAGCTTGTACAAAGGGTGATATTCTATCACTAGGTTTTATAAAGGATGGTTTTCTATCGCCGGGTTGTATAAGGACTAATATTCTATAACCAAGTTGTATAAGGCCTAATAATCTATCACCAGATTGTATAAATACTATCACTAGGGTGAATAAAGGATAACATTATATCAGTAGGTTGTATAAAGGGTGATATTCTATCACTAGGTTGTATAAAGGATAGTCTATCACCACGTTGCTTAAATTATGACATTCTATCACTAGGTTGTATAAAGGATGATATTCTGTCACTGGGTTGTATAAAGGATGATATTCTATCACTAGGTTTAATAAAGGACAATATTATATCATCAGGTTGTATAAAGAGTGATATTTTATCACTAGGTTGTATAAAGGATATTCTATCACTAGGTTGAATAAAGGATGATATTTGGTCACTTTCTATCACAAGGTTGTATAAGGGATAATATTTTATCGCTCGGTTGTATAAAGGATAATATTCTATCACCAGGTTGTATAAGAGATAATATTCTATTACTAGGTTGTATATAGGATGATATGCTATCACTAGGATGATATTTTATCACTATATTGTATAAAGGATGATATTCTATCACTAGGTTGTATAAAGGATGATATTCTTTCACTAGGTTGTATATAGGATGATATTATACCACTAGATTGTATAAAAGTTGATATTCTATCACTAGGATGTATAAAGGATATTCTATCACTAAGTTGTATAAAGGATTATATTCTATCTCTAGGTTGCATAAAGGATGATATTATACCACTAGATTGTATAATAGTTGATATTCTATCTCTAGGCTGTATCACAAGGTTGTATAAGGGATAATATCTTATCACTAGGTTGTATAAAGGATGATATTCTATCACTAGGTTATATATAGGATGATATCACTAGATTGTATAATATCCTATCACTAGTGTGATATTTTATCACTATGTTGTATAAAGGATGATATTCTGTCACTAAGTTGAATAAAGGATGATATTATTTCACTATGTTGTATAAAGAATGATATTATATCACTAGCTTGTACAAAGGGTGATATTCTATCACTAGGTTGTATAAAGGATGATATGCTGTCATTAAGTTGTATAAAGGATGATATTCTATCACTAGGTTGTATAAAGAATGATGTTTTATCACTAGCTTGTACAAAGGGTGATATTCTATCACTAGCTTGTATAAAGGATGGTTTTCTATCGCCGGGCTGTATAAGGACTAATATTCTATAACCAAGTTGTATAAGGCCTAATAGTCTATCACCAGATTGTATAAATACTATCACTAGGGTGAATAAAGGATAATATTATATCAGTAGGTTGTATAAAGGATGGTATTCGATCACTAGATTGTATAAAGGATGATATTCTATCACTAGATTGTATAAAGGATAATATTCTATCACTAGATTGTATAAAGGATAATATTCTATCACTAGATTGTATAAAGGATGATAATCGATAGCTAGGTTGTATAAAGAATAATTTTTATCCCCAGGTTATGTATAGGATTGTATAAGGGATAATATTCTATCACCAAATTGTATAAGGGATAATATTCTATCACGAGATTGTATAAAGATAATATTCTAGGTTATATAAAAGATGATATTCTATCTCTAAGATGATATTTTATCACTATTTTATATAAAATATGATATTCTATCTCTAAGTTGCATAAAGGATGATATAGTATACCACTAGATGTAAAGGGTGATATTCTATCTCTAGGATGTATAAAGGATGATATTCTACCACTAGATTGTACAAAGGGCAATATTCTATCACTAGGATGTATAAAAGATGACATTCAATCAACCGGGTTGTATAAAGGATGATACTCTATCACTAGGTTGTATAAAGGATGATACTCTATCACTAGGATGTATAAAGGATATTCTATCACTAAGTTGTATAAAGGATTATATTCTATCTCTAGGTTGCATAAAGGATGATATTATACCACTAGATTGTATAAAAGTTGATATTCTATCACTAGGATGTATAAAGGATGATATTCTACCACTAGATTGTACAAAGCGCAATATTCTATCACTAGGTTGTATAAAAGATGACATTCAATCACCAGGTTGTATAAAGGATGATACTCTATCACTAGGATGTATAAAGGATATTCTATCACTAAGTTGTATAAAGGATTATATTCTATCTCTAGGCTGTATAAAGGGTAATATTCTATCACTAGGTTGTATAAAGGATATTCTATCACTAGGTTGTATAAAGGATGATATATCACTAGGTTGTATAAAGGATGATATTATACCACTAGATTGTATAAAAGTTGATATTCTATCACTAGGCTGTATAAAGGATGACATTCCATCACAAGGTTGTATAAAGGATGATAGTATATCACTAGGTTGTATAAAGGATGATATTCTATCGCTAGATCGTATAAAGGATGATAATCTATCACCAGGTTGTATAAAGGATGATTTTCTATAACTAGGTTGTATAAAAGATAATGATCTATCTCAGGTTGTATAAAGGATGATATTCCATCACCAGCTTGTATAAAGGATGATATTCTATCACCAGGTTGTATAAAGGATACTATTCTATCACCAGGTTGTATATACTACTTCATAATCTAGTGTATGAAAGATTATATTTGATATCACATACTTCATTTTTATTTGGGCCGGGGTGGGGGATGTAAAAATATCGTTATGTACTTGTGCAAAGCATATTATCCAATCACCTGAAAGTTTTTCTGATATTATCCCGAAGTGTTTGACAGCAATGGATATGCCCTGGTGGTCATATTGATTGTCATATTTCATTTCAAGCCAAAGCTCCACTTAGCATCAATTATCTCGTCATGACATGATGTATTACTACGAGACTAACTACTTTATGCTTCTTATCACCGTATAAGTCTATTGATGTTTATTTATGTCACTACGCGAAGCGATTTAATCCCATGTCAGCTTTGGCCTGATTTAAATCTTCTGGAAGTCACTGAGTCTTTCATGTTTATAGATTACTAGTAAAATCGGCTGAATGATTCGAGAGACAAGCCTAATTATCTACTCCAACAATTATATACAATTATATTTAGACAAGACATATCTAACAGAAACTTCACATAGATTTCAGATTGAGCAATATTTCAATCAATGGTAAAACCGAATAAAGGTTTCAATAGTGAACAAATCCTCGATAGTACATTTGCTTAATATTCTGTCGATTATTCTACCAAAGCCAAATTACCGATTTACTGAAGACTTATCTGGTAAATTAGTTCAGATAAAATCAAAACTGAAAGCATTTCAATTATTTGATTGGATAATAAAACTGCATTTAGAACAATTTTAATGATTGACCAATCAGATGACTGAAACACTGAAATCGTTCTGTTTTTTTTTGAGAACAGGGCTCCTGGCTTTACCCATTATAATTTATATTGAAAATTCGAAATCTGGGCTTTTCTCAATTTCCAACACATTCTCAATTATTGTTTTTAAATAACTTGATACAGACACAGATTGTAATAAAATGGAACTGTTTGATCAGTAAGTGACAAATTTCCGCCGATAGTAATATGGAGACCAAGAGTAAATGCGATACCATGGGCTCTAATTATTGAAATGATCACAGTTTTCATTTGGTATGGTCTACAGCTCAATAGATCACTTAACACTTTCTTAATTCTTATTTATGGCACGCGTCTGACTGATGGTAGTTAATATCAGGCATCAGCTGTGATGCTCAGCAAGGTATTACGTGAATGGCGACAATAATATAGTTTATAGGAAGACTAAAGGATTAACCTACTGTGCAAAAACTTCAATTAACTTTTCTACCACCGAGACATTGCAATGTCGTTTTCGATTATTACATCTAATTCTGTATTTTTGGACTCTTAAAGCTTTACAGAAGAATGTGGAATGCTTGTATTTTCATGTGTGTTATATTATTGGTTACTTCCGGTATGTATTGTACTACATGACAGATTTCAACTACACACATAACGCGTAACAAGGACACATTAGGCGAGGGGCTGATAAGGGGACTCAAAATTTAAGGCGAGGGGCTAAGGCAAAACTAAAATGATAACAAAATTGAAAGTGGGTGAAGCTGGGCTCCTGTAGAAACCCCACTGTAAGACATCATAACGTTATGATACACTTAGATTAGACCGATGATATGTTTACAAATTGCTTTGTGCCTTTCACTGCATCGACCCTGATCATGTTCTCAAATTACTCTAAACATGTTGTCAAGTTACTCTAACCATGTTGTCAAGTTACTCTAACCATGGCGTCAAGTTACTCTAACCATGTTGTCAAGTTACTCTAACCATGGCGTCAAGTTACTCTAAACATGTTGTCAAGTTACTCTAACCATGTTGTCAAGTTACTCTAACCATGGCGTCAAGTTACTTTAAACATGTTGTCAAGTTACTCTAACTATGTTGTCAAGTTACTCTGATCATTTCGTCAAGTTTTTCTGAACATGTTGGCGAGTAAATCTAATCATGAACTCTTGACACTATGATAATGTTATCAAGTTACTCTGACCATATTGTCAAGTCATTCTGATCACATCGTCAGGTAACTCTGAACTGTGAAGTTACTCTGAAAATGTTGGCATGTTAATCTGATCATGTCGTCAAGTTACTCTGAACTTGTTATCAAGTTACTTTTATCATGTTGTCAAGTAACTCTTATAAAACAAAAGTAAAGCTATTCTGATCATGTACGAAGTATGTTTATTGGGTATTCTGATCATGTAGTGTATCATGTAAATCTATTGTTATCATATACACAATATAGCTATTCTGATATGTGCATAGTCTTGTTATCCTGATCATGTACACAATATAGCTATTCTGATATGTACGCAGTCTTGATATCCTGATCATGTACACAATATAGCTATTCTGATATATACACAGTCTTGATATCCTGATCATGTACACAATATAGCTATTCTGATATTTACACAGTCTTGATATCCTGATCATGTACACAATATAGCTATTCTGATATATACACAGTCTTGATATCTTGATCATGTACACAATATAGCTATTCTGATATTTACACAGTCATGATATCCTGATCATGTACACAATATAGCTATTCTGGTATTTACACAGTCATGATATCCTGATCATGTACACAATATAGCTATTCTGATATTTACACAGTCATGATATCCTGATCATGTACACAATATAGCTATTCTGGTATTTACACAGTCTTGATATCCTGATCATGTACACAATATAGCTATTCTGATATTTACACAGTCTTGATATCCTGATCATGTACACAATATAGCTATTCTGATATTTACACATGTTTTTCTGATATTTAGTCATGTTTTTCAGATCATTATTTCAAGATTTTACGAATGTTCAGTATACAGTAAAGAACACTGGTCGTTCAGAGCAGTCATTTTGATCGTCCGAATTGAATTTCTAGATAAGGCATATATTGCAAAAAATGATTTGATATTTCAAATCTAGAATTGAAATCAGGGTCAAAGTGTTTTGTTATTTTTTACATTATCTCCAACAAATTCAAATTATAAACCTTTCAATACTGATGGATGATTTTCCAAGGTTTAAAATGAAATTGATAAATGATATTAGAATATATATAAGTAGTTTATGTGGAATTCAATTATCTATCTATATATTATTATTTTATCCTGTCTGGCTTCTGTTATATAGTCACTGACAATATAATTCTTCATTTAAAAACATAATAAATGTCTTGAAAATGTCATCTCTGGAGCATTGTTCTTCGATATATTTAACACTCTGCAATTAAACAAAGAATAAAGTCGCTTGAGAGAATAATCTATATAATGCAATCATAATGTCATAATGTTATGACCTGAAATCTTTCAAATGACACTGGTCAGTAATTGGAAATTTTGGGGGTTCAGAGAGTTTGGCCCTCTTTTAAGATATGTCGTTTAATGTACATGTATAGGTAAATTAGTATATATTTATAATGTAATTTCATTCAAGGCATGTTTCGTCCGTTTACTCATAATTAGCTACCAATACTACATGTATATGACATGACAACACATGTCCTTGATTAACAGTTCTCTGGGCTTGTCATGTGTCAAATTCATTGTACACAGTTGAACATGACTAAATATTGATGAAGTACCAAAATTGTGACCTTAAAGGGATTGTAAAGAGGTTTTTTTTTTATGTTGGTTACACTGATAGAATCAATTTGAACCATTCCAATTTTTATCTTTAAGACGTTCGATTGTAAATTGGAATATTGCAAATTGATGCTACCAGTGTCACCGATACACATAATATTTTTTAGAAAAACCTCTTTACAACCCCCTTTATGTAGATATTACTCACATTTTCAATTTTGTCATTTAAAATTAACATTTAACCTAGTCTGAAAATCGCTGCATCGAAATCTGGCCTATACGTGACAGTAAGCGTCAAAGTAAATATATAGCTGAGGTTAAATTAAAGTCAACACGTTTCAGACAACATTATATATAATCCTGCACTACAAGAATTATTTCAAGTATATGTCACAGTAAATATAGAAATATGACACTCAGTCTGAAATAAGATAGATTCTGTTCTAATATTAAAAGTCAAGAAGAATGTTTGAGGGCAATAGAATAAGAAGAAATGCTATTTCAGAGAAGTTGGTTTCTAAAGATTTAGAAGTCCAGTGTTTGAACTGAAGATCCAATAGTTAGTAGAATACTGTTCAAATAGTTATTATAACTTATCTGATGAATACCAACTAGATTACTGCCCTTGGCAACAAACTTGCTAAGAAACTATTAAGATGTCTAGTCTATAAGACTGGCTGGGGACTACGGGCTATAATAATTCCACATGAATCAAGCTTCGAAAATCAAAAGAAATTGTTGAAAGATTTGATTGGAATTTAACTCCAACGAATGTATATATTCTAAGCTTATTTCTCTATATAATGTCTCGACCACTTCTAGGATCTAGAACTTCGTTCATACGGTTCTTTTCAATTTTCACAATATGTAAGCTTCTTTGTGCTTTGTATTATTCTAGGGAAGAAAAATAATGAATCAGAATTTAAGCTAATATCTCTTTGGAGGTTTTTCTAAAATGTTTTCTGAAATTAATTTAATACATAATATGCCATTTGTCTAACTTGTCTTTTTATTTTAAAACTAAAACGCCAGATGTTCAGCTGCATCCCAAAAATAAGATGACCGTAAAAATATATCTTCATTTATATCAAGAGTACTTAACAATATTGATGAAATAAACACCATTTAAGATTTAAATTATATTCAGAGTACCAGAGACAGATAATATGATAATTTAAAGAATACGGTATTTGATATAAATATAAATCCATTTTACCACTGAATCAATTATCAATTATCAATCTTAATTTTCTGCCCAGAAACGCAATTTCCGTTGGGTAACGACTTTTCTTTCATTCACTTTATGAAAG